GCATTAGCATGTATAAACCAGTTAACACATAGAAGAAAATTAGGAATCTATTGTAAAGTAAGCTATTGATCGCGTCTATTTAGGGGTACTATGGAAAATATACTAGACACTCATCTGACCATCATCACTTAGCATTATAAGTTTAAGTATAGAAATAAATCCTTACTCTTACTTCTCTTAAACTAATGATATGATACAAACTGTGATATCCCCATTTTCACGGCCAGAAAAGACCAGTTTATGCTTATTTAAAAAATCAGAGTTTTAATTTTCAAATGCGGAATTTATCTTATAAAATATTCCCGAAGGAATGTGTTTCATTGATTTATTAAAAACTCAAGATGTCATCATCGATACATCAAAATAAGCATAAACAGACCTTACATTAATTTACGCTAATAATCTACATCTCATTTAATCTCTCAGTGTAATGTATATTCACATCGATACCTATGATACAAATTAACTGGTGGGTCAGATTGGGAAACCTGGTGAGTACATAGGGTTTTCAATCCCATAATATTATAATTTATATGTTTCAATACTATTGTAAAACCAATTATTACCAACAATATATATGTGTATCTAATTTTGATTTCTACATACCCTTATACCTAATCCTACCTGCACCCAATCGATCCTCATAGATCCTAGTCTACGATTATCAGGAGGGATTATCCTGCTAGATGAATCGTTTAGAAGTATGCAGACTTACCATTACAGTTTTCTGATCTGGACCTACCATATTTGGTTATCTAATAATATGCAGGCATAGCATTATAGTTCTCTGATAAGGGCCTACCATCTCTGGTTATCCAAGAATATGTAGACATACCATTATAACTGTCTGATCAGGACCCACCATATTTGGCCATCCTAAGGGGAATACTATATTATAATATCGTACGTAGCTACCATACATCAACACCTAAAAGTGTCAAGGAGCAAAATCCTACTCTCCATTCCTAACTTACACATACATGTCCTGAATGAGACTACCCGTTATCAAACATAATTGAATTAGTCTTATATTATTAACGGGCATAGCTACCAAACCACTAATACTAACCTTGTATATATAATACCAACCTATCATAGTATATATATATATATATATATATATATATATATATATATGTGTGTGTGTGTGTGTATATATATACACATATATATCGTAGATTATTATAAATAGTAATATACTTTAGTCTATGTTCCCTAATGATATTTCTATTGTTGTTATCATGCGGAAATAGACATATAACTTTTTACCATATATAGCAACATATCTAATTTGCATGTCATATATCCTTGAATACATTTTAAACACATAAACATGGAAATAAGCATATAGCTCACACATAAACTTTCTACATATATTTAAAACTTTAATTAATACTTGTATTAAAATCATGTTCATGAAAGGGTCTATGCACTTACTTGAATTAAGTAGGTGACTGGTGATCAGGGCAGAGCTTCGCCTAACACCTTAGATATTTCTTGATGTAACCTAAGTATAATTAATACAAAGTTTTATTCTAATGATCCTGTAGACTAAGAATAAGCTAGATCCTCAGTAATCCTATGTAAGGATCGGCCAGGCAGGATAGTTGGGTGGCAGGATCATTTCGGCACAATAATGACTTATGGCCATAAATATAAATTACAAAATGGAATTACTGATAAATCTTTAATTATAGGTTCATGATAACGACTTATGACCATAAATATAAATAACACTAAAAAGACTAGAGTGTAGCTTAAGTTATAGAGGACATAGCAAAAAGCTAGGAATTATGTGGGTAGAACTCTGATCCAGGAGCTTCTGTTCAGTGGCTATCTAACACTGCAGGGCTTCTACTTGATAGCTACTACTACTTTGGGATCGCAGGTCTTCGCCGAAGCCTAAAACTAAGGGAAAATGGGAAAAAAAACAAAGGGAATCTAGATAGAGAAGTGTTGGTGGTGTAAAAGAGAATGAGGCGGAGCACCTCTATTTATAGGCTATATGCGCACTGCGATTGGCGTGCACGATACACACACCTGAGACATTGCACTTTCCATTTTTTTGCCATGTGTCACATATGTGGTGGTCCACGCCCCACCTTCGAGAAGGTGTGTTCCGTGCAATCAACTTGCGCGTGTCGCTTCTCGAAATATATTAAAAAATCGTATCTTCTTCATAGGATCTCCATTCTCGACCTTCTTTATATCACCAGAAAGCCCTCGAAAAGATCTGCAACTTTCATTTAGACTCTGTCGCTAATTTTGAATTTATTTTCAAAGCTATAGTTTTAACAGGCTTAGACTATTAAAGTCAATTAAAAATTCATAACTTTCTCATATGATATATGTTCTCGGCTGCCTTCATGTCGATGGAACTATATGGACGAGATCCTAAACTCTCATTTTGATTGCTACTTCGCTTTTTGAGTCATATACTGCTACGCTGAAACTTCTAAAATACCTACAAAGTCAGATTTGGGCGTTTTCTATATGCACTCTCGCAGTTTAACTACTACTACGACTTCTGTTTAGATTATTTACCCTAAATGTTAAGTCGTTATTTGTGTTTTGTCAAAATGGTTGTTTTGGAATTAAGTATTGCTCCGATTCCGAAATGGGCATGTTTGTGTTCATAATCGTTATCTTTTGCATCTATAAATAGTGTAAAATTATTGTCTGTTTTGGCAGACTTCTGCCTAGCATAGAAAGAATAGTTCCAATCTTGTATACGAATTGTTCTAATGTTAATTGAATGAAGACCAATATCTTTTCAATCATTATCATTCCAAATCATTAATACATCTTATAATATAGAATATGACGATCATTTTATTCTAACAAGTGGTATCAGAGCTAGTGGCGAGGGTTTGATTCTCTCAAGTAGCAGTTTTTGATGGGGGATTGTTGGGGGTCAAAAATGGCATCGATCAAGTCATCGCATGATGGTCATTATGCCGCAATCGAATGCCTAGTCCTGGAGGGATGAATGTGTTGGATAAGGTGTCTATGTCCATAACTTATTTGGTATACACTTGACCTGACCCGGCATGGTCCATTTGGGTTGCACTTCACCCGAACTATTTATGGATAATGTTATGAGAGTTATACACATATGTTTATTAATATATTGTAAGTTATAATATATTAATATGAAGTTATTTAATTAGTCTTAGTCTTAAATTAATTATGAATTAATTTAGAGATTAAAAGGAAGACTAATTAAATTGTGGGTTATTGTTTTATATGGTGTAGGCTAACACTCATTAGTTAATGGGCTAGGCTTATATGGAAGTCCATGGATGATCCATGGAGCTTTTAACCCATGGATCCTTGGAAAAGGAAAGGTCATGGGTTATTAGGGTTTCACCCTAACCATGCACACTATATAAGCATGCTTATGTTGCATGAAATAGCCACTAGTGTGTGTGTTTGTGTGTGGCCGAATTTATAAGTGTGTATACACTCTCAAAGTTTTCCAAGTGTTTGTGGTGATTTGTAATTTCCATTTGAGGCATTCACACTATTGGTGCTTGGCTCTCAAACTCCAAGGAATCAAACTCATCAAAAGGCATGTAATCTCATCTAATTTTTTTATGTTCAAAAGTACCCCATGCCATGTTAGATAGGTTATGAACCTTCGAAAATTATTATTTTGCATGTATTTAGACAAACATAGATCCAAGGTTTATTAGGGTTGCATGCACACTTAGGAAGTGTTAGATTGCTCAAAACCCAACAGAATGTGTTATATGGGTTGGGTTGTGCCCTTTCTAATACCAATTGGTTTTAGTTGCGCCCTTTCTAACACCAATTGGTTTTAGTTCAACCAGTGTACAACAAATTAGAATAACAATCATGAATCAATCACCATAAAGTTGCAAGTAATCTATAACCTTTTGTATGTTATTGATTTATAAATGGAACATACAAAGAAACTTTTTTTTTTAGGAAAAGCTTTTGGTTAAAGGGCACAACGTTGAAATCAACCAATGATTGTTGCGTACCGTCGAGTCAAGAGAAGCTCCCTTCACTGTCTATGTTGGTCAGTTCCTCAGTAAGAGGCTTAAGCCTATGTTTGAGAAGCTTAATGATATCCAGAATGTTACGAGAAGTGGGGCTTCTTCACAGCAATGGGGAGAACCGAAGGTAAATTTAAACAATCCGTATCAGACGGGCTTCATGAAGAAAACTAAAGAAGTTGATACAATCAAGTAATAAAAGAAAACTCTTGCTTAAAATTCAAGAATATCAAGCATGTCAAGACTAATCGGGAGGGGGGGATCATGTATCTTTATGATCGGGAAAGGGAAAAGTCAACATCGTTTCCAAAAACGTTACTGACAAAGATTCGATGTTGAGTGAGAATGAAAGAATCGGAAGAGAGAAAAGGGACAAGGAACTTGATGAGCTCAATTCCCTAAGGGAAAAACTGGATGCTGAAGAGGCCAAAGCCACAAATTCATAAATGATTCTTGAGAGCAAGAAAGCTTTATTTTCGGCCTAAACTCTCGATCGGATGCAAGAAGAAGCTATGAATGATCAAAATATCTTTCGGTTGGAACTAAAAACCTCTTTTGATATCAACAACAAAATGGGGTGTCATTTCGATTTACCTATCACTCCAAGAGCTTTTTTCTTCCGATACTTTCTGCAGACAGAGAAATCTTTGATTACCAACAACACAATAAACTGAAAGCTATTATCATTCTACTTGAAATATGCAAAACCTAAGTACGATTCATGGAGTCGTAAAAGAATCATGGGTCTAAAGGTTGGTCTACGTATTTAGATAGAAGACTTTCTAACCATTCAATTCATTGGATTTTGAGGTCATAATCATAATCTTCATGAGTTAACATTAGCTGATCTAACATTTATGAAGACCTATCATTGGATTTTGTTATTCCACATTGTTGTATAGGATATGAAGAAGTACAAACCAATCTTATGAACATTTGAAGAGGATGATCAAATGTTATATCCTGGAAATAGCAAAGATGGATGTAGAAACTGCTTTAGTTCTGAAAAGGAAACCTATATTGAAGCCTTTTGATCAACCCCAAAATATTGAAAATCTAAAGGGAGGATTTGTTGACAAAGAATACTGGAGCATTGTTTACAAGAATAAGGAAGGTCAAGAGATTAAGAACTCTATGTTCTTTCTAAGGGACAAGAACTTATATCCTACAAGTTATCTAAACTCAATCATGGCTAGGTCTGAAGCAAACAAGTCCAACTCTACTACTGATGTCAAGTGTGTTTTCGATATGATTCATGGTATCTATCTGTTAGGGCATCCCTTTTGAAGATAATTTTGAAGATTTTTGAAGACCAGAAACAATAAAGACTACTTCATTCTGATTTGTAAAAAACAGGGAGATTATTAAGTCATTATTTGTGTTGTGTCAAAATGGTTGTTTTCGGAACTAAGTCTTGTTCCGATTCCAAACTAGGCATGTCTGTTTTCAGAATCGATATATTTTGCGTCTATAAATAGTTTAATGTTATTGTCTTTTTTGGCATACTTTTGTCTAGCATAGAAAGAATAGTTCCGATCTTGTATACAAATTGTTATAATGCTAGGTAAATGAAGACCAGTCTCTTTTCAATCATTATCATTCCAAATCATTAATTCAACTTATAATATAGAATCCAATGATCATTTTACTTTAACATAAATAAGCCTTTTTTGATAATATCTAATTATCATTGCGACTAATAATTATCCTATTTATACTTTTATCAACTAGCCCTATCTTGTAGGCGTTACAATACTAGAAGCATAGGTTTGAGATATGACACTAGTTTTAGTAGTTAGTTGATAGTTTCAAACTTGTAACAAAATAAACGCTATTTATTTTGGTGATCCAATAATAAAGATTATTTATGAGTATGGTTACTTGCTTTTTCAACTGTTTATTCTTGTGTTTCACTTTGCATGTTTTACTTCTTGAATGATTTTATTATTCTAAATTTTGCGGTCGTTCTTAATATTTTAAATAAGTAGTGAATCAAGACTGTTATGAATTGAATTACATATTGTCTATAGGAGTTAGACATTGCAATAAGATTACCTATAATGTTCATGAGTACTTAGAAAATAGGGATTTTGAGTATTGGATAAAACTAAACTCATATAATGACTTTATCAATTATATCACAAGTAATTATGAGATGATAATATCTTGTATTTTATCATTATTATTATTATTTTTGAAACAGAGATATATGAACTGTAATTTACAAATCGGTTGTACGTTGGTATGGTGAAAATGCATTAGTAACGCGATGTTATAAAATATGGTGTCATGCATGATTTGGTGAGTAAAAGATATAAGCATACAAGTCAAAGTTTATTCATTCCTTTTTCACTAACAGGAAAAGCGATATCTTTAGGCCCCTCACTGATTTATTGTGTTGGGCCCAACCATGACTAAATTGATGTATTCACTTAGTAGTCCTATGAGGCCATCACAAATGTGGGAATCATAAAACAGAATTTTTGACAAGAGATTTATTGTAATCCATGTCTCACATTCATACGATATCTTTAAGAACAAATGAATATTTGATCACTTATCTTAGGGTTGATGCCTGATTAGATTACAGTTTGACAGTTGCTTTGGATAGCACACTTTTCTGTTTAGTTTAAACGTTATACTTGCAATTGTAGTTACATACTTATCCAAGTGGGTGACTATTAAATTACGTGTCTAAGCCAATTACTAAATTGGTATATACTTGAATTAAAAACAAAGTCCTTTTTAAGTTGGCCTCAAAACTAGTAATTGACGGAATAACTTTTAGAGAGTGAGAGAGGTTGATTTATTGATTTATTAAATGATAAATAAATATAAATAAATATTTTGTTAATATATTATGAGATTAATATATTAGTTAGAAATATTATTATTTAATTAGTAATTAATCATAAATTAATTGTAATTAATTTTGGGATTATTTAGATTATTCAATAGTGAAACGACTAAAGTTGTAATTGTTCGATACTTGAACAAGAGAGGAATTCTAGAAATTTCCTAGGGTTTTACGATATTTGGAGGCTCCTTAGGGTTTGTAATTATTCCATATGAATAATATGGATATTTAGGAAACTAGGTAATTGTAGATTTGAAATACGATTATTTTACTTCAAATTAGGGTTTTTAGGGTTTTCCTATTAGCCATAAATAGGTTCCTTTGGCATCATATTTTCTTTCACTACTTCTACAAGAATAAGAGCCGAAATTATCATCCTCTCTCCTCTCTCCTATCAACTGTTCCATTGCTAGGGTTTGGGTACAAGCCATTAGAAACATCAAATTCAAGGCTTTAAAAGATAGAACAACTTTCGTTACATGCTATAAAATTAAGAGGTATATACATCCTAATCCATTGTTATTTTCGATAATAGTAGGGTAAGTGTGACATCCCCAATTTCACGGCCAGAAAAGACTGATTTGTTTATGCTTTATTTGAACATCAGAGTAACTTTTTAAAGAAAGTGTAGCAGAATTTGATTCCAAAAATATGGTAAAGATTTTATCAAAAGCATTTGCGAAGAATTTTATTTCATTATATTAAAACATCAGGATGTCATTGTCAATAGAAATCATAAACATAAACCAAAATAACATTGGCCTTAAAACATTTATTTATATAAAGTGGCCTATAATCCATTAACTCTTATTTGATCATCACATCAATGCTCTTGCGCCACTACGTGTAATACAAGAAATTGAGCGGGTTAGACTTGGGAGCCTAGTGAGAACATAGGGTTTTCAACCCACAATAACTAAGTTTATTAGTTTCTTCAAATCAATCAACCTTATTACCCATTCTCGTTATGCTCACTTTTTATCCCTAAAGCATCTAATTCAAGGGATCTAGCCTAACGATTTTCATTGGGATGCACACTATTGTTAAGGGGGTCCCTCAGCAATATATGTCTACAAGGAAACCACGAGGGGTATGGAGTACACTGGTGAACATGTCATTCACAAACACCTACAGAGGCCAACCATGAAACACTAGAGGGCAGGACCATTTTGGCATTATATAACTTCTAAAATCCAACAACCTTATGCGGCCTTTCAAACCAGATTCTCCATACCATGACTAGTTAAAAGATATTAAAATAACACTATATATATATTATATTTTATGATATATATTTTTTATAAGTTAATAATAATGATAAAAAAGTTAAACATAAGCTATACTTAAAGTAGGGTAAGCATAACTCACTTACCTGGAGGTTTAGCTAGGAATCGGGCTGTGTGGGGGCAAAACTTCCAAACCCAAAAGCTCTTCTTTTCGGAGCCTTCTGGCGCTCCGGACTCGCCTATTAGAACTCGGGAAGTACTAGAGGTTGTGGGTGGTTTAGAGAGAAGTTATAGAGAGATATAGAGAGAAAATGGTTATGGTATGTGAAAAAGTCGCAACTCTCGCATCCTTTTTATAAGGGGCCCGGTCCTTAGTATGCTTGGAGCTCCACGTCTGTATGCTGCGCGTACCTATATGCTACGCGCATGAGGGATACGGTCGGCGTATGATGGGGAACATGTCGGAGTTCAGATGGGGCGACGTGGCACTCTTTTGGGCCAAGTATGCGGACCGCGAGGGGTTCCTTTTATGTATGTAGGGAGTACACATGTACCCTCGCAACAACCTCTTCCAACTTCTAAATTATGTAACTTTCACATACGAGCTCCATATTCAACATTCTTTATATCCACGCATAGGTGGAGACGTACTCTACAACTTTCTTTTAGACTCCGTCGGCCAATTTTGATTTTATTTTTAAAGTTTATGAATACCATCTAGCTCTTTTGGCAATTTCAGCTTGTATGCTTGGTTTCCAATACTTTGAAGAACCTTGAATGGTCCAATAAACCTTTGACTCAACTTTACTCTCTTTCCAAATCTTACAAGTCCCTTCCAAGGTGAGAATTTATGTAAAACCGAATCTCCAACTTTGAATGTCACAGGTCGCCGCTTTTTGTTACAATAACTCTTTTGGCGATCTTCAGCTCCTAACATTCTTTCTCTACTCACTTTTATCTTTTCAATAGTATAATGGACTATCTCGGGGCCCATAAACTGCTTTTCTCCAGCCTCAAGCCAATAAGACGGCGTACGGTACTCTTGTCCATACAAGGCTTGGTAAGGTGCCTTCTTCATGCTTGAATGGTAACTATTATTGTAGGAATACTCTATCAGGGATAAATGCTCATCCCAATTACCTTGGAATTCTAGGGTAAATGTTCTTAGCATACCTTCCAGTGTTTGAATTGTTCTTTTTCTCTGACCATCAGTCTACGGATAGTAGGTTGTATTTAAACACAACTTCGTACCCATTTCCTCATGTAAACTCCTCCAAAATCTTGACGTGAAATGGCTATCATGATCTGATACAATTGTTAAGGGTACACCGTGAAGTCTTACTACCTTCTCCACATAAGCATTTGCAAGCTTATCCTTACACCATCTCTCATTGGCTGCTATGAAGTGTGCACTCCTAGTGAATCGATCCACAACTACCCAAATCATGTCGTGACCGTTCTTCATCCTAGGTAGTTTACGAAAAAAATCCATGGTGATGTCTTCCCATTTACCCATCGGTACAGGTAATGGTTCTAAACTCCCATATAGTTTCTGATGTTGTGCCTTAACTCTTACACATATTACGCACTTTTCCACATACTTTGCAACATCAAACTTTATCGTCGGCCACCAATAGTAAGGTTTCAAATCCCTATACATCCTAGTGCTGCCAGGATGAATAGAGTACATGGTCTTGTGAGCTTCTTTCAACAAAAAATCTCTTATTCCTCCTGTCTTAGGTACTCAAATTCTATCTTGGAATACCTTTAACCCTTGACTATTTGTATCCAATACCAACGTTTTTCCTAACCGTTCTTCCTTTTGGTAATTTCTCCAAATTTTCTTCTTGAGATTTCTTTATGCTTTCCACAATTGTTGAGACAAATTCAATTCTCAACACTCTTGGAATTTTTCTTTTCAAGTTTACTTTTCGAACTAGAGCATCAGCTACAACATTTGCTTTACCAGGGTGGTAAAGTATCTCACAGTCGTAAACCTTGAGTAACTCTAGCCAACATCATTGTCTCATATTCATGCATGGAATTTGAGATATATGCAAAGAAAGAAAAAAAGGTGATACAAAGAATACCAGTGGTGTGTGATTATCTGGCATAGTTTGCACTAAGCCAATTCATTCCCAGTACGATGTCGAAATTGTTCAACTCAATAGGCAAACTCCTTGTGGAATTTATTCCCATTCAAGTTGATGATGATGTTTTTGATGTAATCGCTAACAGATATGAAATTACCACTGGAAACTTCTACAATTGGAGCATTATCAAGTTTATCTACAGTCAATGCTAGTCTTCCACCAAATTTGTGCGATATAAAGGAGTAATTTGCTCCCGAATCAAACAATATATTGGCAAGCAATCCGTTTACAAGAAAGGTAAATGAAGCGACATCTGCTACATCCTTTGGGGCTTCCAGGGCTTCTCCCCGTGGAATTGTATCTACCAATAACTTCCACCAACTGAAAACTCTAGTCTTTAGTTGTCTGACTGCAAAGACGATTTTCTGCTTGTTATTGTAGTTGCAACTTTCAAATAACGTCTCCATCTCATAGATCTAGTCCATAATATCCACTGGCTTTGGGCTTCCCGAAAGAATTGGTGATTTGGAACCCAAGAAGTTCTTCTACATACGCCCACCCCTGTTAATTCCTACATCTTGGTTATTCCTTCCAACCACTGGCGGTTCAGCTTGCCCTGTGGTTCTGCTATAGTTTCCTTTTTCGGGCAGTCCCTCATTTAGTTCAGGTTGTTCAACAGGCACAATAGATTCATCCTAATTTTGTTGAAGTAGACACTTTGTCCCTTCCATATGGTGATACAACATCACTTGAATCATGGGTTGTACTCTGCCATTGTGATTAGCTCAGGTGTAGCTACTACTTCTGGTGCACGCTCAATCACAGGCCATTGATTAACATTTTTATTAGCATTTACAAATCCGCTTCAGGTCCTTTCCATGTCGCTCTACGCACCAAAGTAGGTGAATTTTGATCTTTATTTACGGTAGACGTTTATTCCTCCTTATAACTCAGAAAAGTTACATGCTAGTTCTAATACCGTAATTTATACATTTAGAATTCTGAACACATAAAGTTTCCAGATCCGTTCGGCAACAGACCATAGATCTAATCAAATAATAGCATATAAGGCATCTTTATAGCCATAACATAAATCAGTTAGCACGTAATAGCAATTTAGGCATCTTTCCTGAAATAACCTAGTGCTCGTGTCCAAAATGTAGCAGACACTCATCTCACAATCATCGCTTAACATTCTAAGTTTTAGTCTAGAAATCATACAAATTTCGAGTTCGCTTAAACTAATGCTCTGATACCAACTGTGACATCCCCAATTTCACGGCCAGAAAAGACCGATTTGTTTATACTTTATTTGGAAATCAGAGTAACTTTTTATAGAAAGTGTTTCTGAATTTGTTCCCAAAAATATGATAAAGATTTTATCAAAAACATTTCCGAAGAAATATATTTCATTTTATTAAAAGCTCGGGATATCATTGTCAATACAGATCATAAGCAGAAACAAGATATGCCTTACAATATTTATTTATATCTACTAGCCTATAATCTATAAACTCTCATCCGATCATCACATCTATGCTCTTGTGCCACTACATGTAATACAAGAAAATGAGTGGGTCAGGCTTGGGAGCCTGGTGAGCACATAGTGTTTTTCACCCACAATAATTAAGTTTATTAGTTTCATCAAATCAATCAACCTAATTACCTATTCTCGTTATCCTTACTTTTTGTCCCTAAAGCATCTAATTCAAGGGACCTAGCATAAGGATTTCCATCGGGATAGACACTACTGCTAAGGGGGTTCCTTATAAATATATGTATGTAAGGAAACCATGAGGGGGATGGAGAACACCTGTGAGCACATCGTTCAAAAACATCTACAGGCTGCGAGCCTACTAGCGTTCCACTAGACTGTCTAGAATAGTCTGTGGTCATCATCTATACTCCGCTAGATGACTTGATCATATTAAACATCGAGGCCTCTCGTCATTTTATTACATCACACGTCAATTATTTCATCTACCCATGTTCTACCCAATATATTCGTAGATATAAAATAATATACAATTTAAATCATTTAAAACATGTATAAATTGTTCATCCAACATAGATATCAGGAAGACAAATAATATGCACACATAGCATGTAATTTATATTAAATACTTCATATCTATGTGTAAGATGAAAGTAACTACGCACTCACTTTTTAAATTGACGATTCTCAACTCGAGCAGTACTTCGCTTCTTAATAATTTATTGTTCGTAAGGTGACGCTTATTTTATTCTTAATTTGTTACATCGTTATAGCAAGTTTAATGCACATAAATTCACATAATTCACATAATACTAAAATAAATCCTTTTTATTACTTTAAAATAGGTTACAATTGTTGAACCTAACTATTACATTATCATACTAATGCTTAGCTAGAAACACAGGTGTTACAGTACTCTTATGGTTCTTTGTATTCAATAGTTTATTGCTTTTAATAGAGAAAACTTAAATCCAAATAGGTTGCATGTCAACTTAAGGGTTAATTTTTCCACCACATGTTTTAATGATAACTTATAAATCCATCCAGTTGATCCAGAAGAAGAAGATTTAGAAGATCATGTAATCATGCTTGGCAAGTAGTACCAGATCCTAAACTCAAAGCTAAATATGATTCTTTAGTTATTGAATGAATCTTTACTTTTACAATGCATTCTGTGAGTTAAGAAGATGTTGAGATTTTTGTTAAAAGGACAAGAAATGAAGACAAATAATGTTATTTCTAATCTAGTATCATAGTTCGAGACTTCTTTAACTAACAACATGACCTTTTACACATTTAATCTGAAAGAATTTCAAAATATTGCTTGGGAGAGACTTGCAATTTTTGAGAAGATGATAAACTCTTCGAAAGAGTCTATTAAGTTGAAGATTAAAGATTTAGAAGTTACGATGCTTTATAAATTTTGTTTGGCAATTCAACAGAATTTTGATGTTCGTCTTGGTGCTAGAAGAACATTAATTGAAGACATTCACGCTTTCAATAAAGACTATGCTGTAAAATGGAAGTTAAAGAAAGAATCTAATGGGAATGTATTTACAAGTACTGAGAACTCTTTTATAATTTTCATGATTATTTATCAAAGTTTGATATTCTATCAATGACTTCGATTTCTATAGACCAAATCCTTTCTATGGTTTCTTTAATGGAATCATGTTTTAAAAATCAACTTGCTCTAATCTTGCATATTGTTCTTCGATTACCTGCTAATGCTACACACCAATCGATGCTCGTGTCATAAGGGGGAGATAACAGTGGTTCATCAAATGGAGACGAAGACAAATGGAAAGTAGTTACAAGATTGATTTCCATATAAATCCCAATTACAAATCCAAATGAACCTATTCTTACAACTTCGACACCAAGTGCAACTCCAAATGTCTAAGTTGATATTTCTTAGCTTCAATCAAAGAAGGGGTTAAACATAAATGTAGGAGGTTCTAGCTAATCGATTGTCAAACCTAGTGGAACCTCCGTATCAAAAGGAAAAGGAAAAGGTGTTCAAGTAGAGCCTAGTGAAGAAGAGAAGAAGAAATTACAAGAGCTTGAAACTGAAAGAATGAAGCACCTTAATGGTATTATGAGAATAAGAGTAAATGGCCCACCTGGTCTTGACAAGGGAGATCCAAATAAGGTGTGGTGTTATGAAACAATTGATATTGTGGCTTATGGTGAAGTCTATGCATTTGAAAAAAGATCAAAGAAAAGATATCCCATTTAAGACTCAGATTTAAATCAATTGGATTTTCTGTTCTATCATTTTATGTTCACATTTTCTTAGTTTAAATTTGACGATAATTTTCATGATATGGAGGAGTTTAAAAGCATGAAGATTCGATTTCATGCTGTTTTTGGAAAGAAAGAAGAAGATTTTTGGTCATTGGTAAAAATTGTTAAACTTGTATCGATAACTCCTGATGTTATGTTTGAAGGAATCATTCACTAATATTTGGATTTGTTGATGAAGTCTCTCTTGATTAGTCTCCCCCTTTTTAGTAGCATCATATTGGGGAGGAGAACCAGGAGGTGGTGAAGGAGTGCGAGGAGGAAGATGAGATGGTGGAGGAAAATTGGATGATGGAGGTGGATCTAGAGGAGGATTATCACCTAGTGAGCTTGATGGGATGTCATCAATAACCATATCATCATCATCATCATCATCATCATCATCAACCAAGGCCATAAAATGCTTCATATCAGCCACATCTTTAGTCAACATGTTTCCCAGTGATTGAGTTAATTACATAACTAGAGAGAGTTGAGAAAGCACAATAGTTTGAAAATTGGAGTTGGATTCTTCCTAAACATCTTGATGAAAAACAGTAGTCTTAATACATGTTAGCATAGGAGGAATAGTCTCAGCTTGAGGAGAAGGAGATGTTAACTCATCTTAGACCATTGGCTCAACATTTTCCACTAGAGGTGGGGTTGATCCAAGTTGTACATTATCATCTATAGAAGAAGTGAATGAGAATCAAATGTGGTTGTTCATTCTTGGAGGAGAGTTCATTATCTAAGAAAAGTATTTTCCCTTATCAGTGGCTTGTTCTTCTTTTTCATCATCATTGTCTTCATCATTAGTCTCTTCTTTATTATCAACACCTTCTTCATTATCTCCGTCATTATTCTCTTCATCAGCGTCTTCATTAGTGCCTTCCTCACTATTATACTCATCATCTTTAGTAGGAGCACTATTAAATGATCTTTGAGGAGAGGGAAGATATTGGAATGATAATCCCATTAATACCAAATCAACATTGCTCAATTCAAACGACTTCAAGTAAACAAGTTTATTCCATAAACTAACAAGTCCCTTGAACTTCAGGCAACTTATATCATTATTCAAATCACTAATAAACTAATATTGTGAATTCACCCCATGAGTTATTTATACCATACAATAACCATCAACATAAGCTCTTGAGCAGCCGAACCGCCCAATCAGTTTCAATATACTTTCAAGGCACAATAAATTGAAAGAAATATGAAATGCTCAAAAAACATCTGCAAGAGCCGGTAACTGCGTATCAGCAAACACAGGCTCTCCCATTTGATTGACACGTTGGAAAACGATTCCTTACCCTAAACTATTTTCCTTAATGGTGCCGCATTAGACATATCATTTGACATTGAAATGTGGAGCTTTCAATAGCTAGGCAAAATATATTTAAGTCATATAGGATAACTATATATATTTGTTGTTTAAAAAAAGTTATAAAAAATATCGCAAAAGTTTTTATTAATAAGAGACAAAAAAAAAAACTACAAAACACAATTATTATCATAAGTAATTAAGTGAAGGTCTGCAACCAATGAAATATTAAACTTTTTACATGTATTAGAAATTGAGTTGATTCCAAACTTCTCCTTTCTTTTATCAATTTCCGAAAATTAATTAATCCTATTTCTATACTACCATATCTGACCCTCTCCCCCGTCACTCTAAACGTATTAAAGATATGGTGACAACTAAAAATGCTTTCTGATTAAACAGTAAAACACCACTAAGTTCATTAATTTGTGACTATAATCATTGTAAATATATAGATACGATTTGCTTGTCCTTCTAAAAGATATTGTTGACAGAATCACTTTATATCATAAAAAATTACGTAATCAAAACAAATATAAAAGAAATTATATTTTATAATCATACGACACTTAGAAGATCAAGAAATCTTGACACGAAATGAATGGATAGAAGACACATACTTGTAACCTGCAGTTGGAGGTTATTTTGTAGTTTTATACATGACATCGTATCAGATAAAGAATAAGAAAATGATCAATGTGCAAGTTTGAAAAGAGGGAACAGTTAATAACATATTCAAGCCATAATAAAATATCGTGATCGTATCACCATAATGTATATCATGTCTCATTTTAATAACGTTAAAGCAATACGTGGCATCACATCGTTATCCGTAAAGACGGTTGATTGAAAAGTCAATCGATCTGTCATGAACTGTTTGACTTCTTCAGAGTGAGATTTGGAGGTTAACTAATTTTCTAAAGTTTGCAACCTACCGTAGTAATATCGGCTTGACAAAAAGAAATAGTAAAATAATATTCCACCTTATTAATCAAACAAGGTGATGCCCATTATGTGTCGTGATGACATCATGCTAATATATTTATACTTGTAGCAAATAAAATAATATTTTTGTGTTGTAAATTTGTGTACATAAGCAAAATGTTAACAAAATTTGTGACGCTTTATGTTCCGGTGAAAATTTTGGGTATGTATAAGTAATAAATATAATTAAAAAGTTATATTTATTATTTTTTCGTCTGAAATTATTATAAAAAAATAAAAATGCTTTTAAATGTATGACAAATGCTATCAAAATACTAAATATTCTAAAAATGTATGTCATATTTGAAAAGAAAATTATTTATATACATGGATAAAAAAAGTTATAAAAAACAATTCCTAAAATAACCATGTTTTTGTAAAACTGGTAAAAAACAAAGCTATAGAAACATAAGTTATGATGTATGGATCACTTTGCATCTCTTTGTCAAATGTGCTTCGCTATGAATTAAATCGTAGAGCATATCAAACAAATGAAGAAGTGAATACTAAATTTAAGGATTTGACAAGATAGGTGAATATCTTCAACACAATTTATCAAAATATCGATAATGAATGGTCGAATGAAGATGAAGATATAATTTTGGTGGTGGTTAGGGACCAATAATAATCCAAAGTGACGGGGTGACTTTGCAAATAATGTAACGTTCCAAAATTACAAAAACTTTTCATTTTCAAAATAAATTAACCGATTAAAACATTTATCTCCAAAATCATTAAGTAACATTCGTTTGATTGAAACTGTTGAGTCTAAGGGGTTGCGTCATTGGGTCTTGGTAGTTCGGTCCATTTTGTACTCAATTGGGTCTGTCCAGCCGTGTATAGCTTTAGGGTTTACATATATATATATATATATATATATATATATATATATATATATATATATATATATATATATATATATATATATATATATATATATATATATATATATATATATATATATATAGTGCATGCATGCATTATATTGATTGCGCTTTTGATAATTATTTTAGAGAACAAGTATTATAAACCTAGCACACCTCTACAGTATCAATTCACATTGAATTCTTCTGAGGTGGAGCATATTAATCATTTGACATACGTATGATTCATCTGTGTGTTTTATTGCTTGTCATTGATTATTATCGTTTTCTTGATATCTGCTGAATCTATCGATCTTATAGAATTAATTCTCATCAATTGGTATCAGAGCAGGAGATTGTGTAATTCATACGCATCTCTTATGTTGGAAGAATCTGTTTAGGGTTTCCGCTTTTATCAAATCTGTAGTAGTCGTCATTTCTTCATTGACGTTATTTCTTGCTTTTGATAAAACCCTAATTCAATCTTTACAAGTCTGATTCTTGCGGATATCTGTAAAAGTTTATCATGTCTCTCGATGATTCTCAAACTAATCCAATCAATATCTCCAACAACATTGGATCTACAACTAGGATTCCAATCCTATACACTCAAGATTATGAAGTTTGGACACATCACTTTGAAGACTATGTGGTTGGATCTGAAGATAATGGCTATCTAATATGGGAAGCGATAACATTACGTCCATTTGTTCATTTCGAAACCGATAGAACAGTTAAGACTGAAAAGGAGTACAATACACTCCTAATTAATGTGGACAAAATTCCTCAAGATGAAAAGGACAAGTTATTGTATAACGTAAAAGCCATGAGAATGATAAGGTTTGCCTTATAGTCCGATACCTTTCGTCTAGTTAGCCCATGCATCACATCGAAAGAGATCTGGGATAGACTTAAGGAGTTGTATTCAACTGATGAAGACCTGGAACACTCCATCCAAACTCTATTGCTTTCAGAGTTCGGTGCATTTCAATAAAAAATGGATGAAAAACTCATTCAGGCTTTCGATCGATTCAACCATCTTCTAATAAAAATGATCAAGCATGACATTGGAAGAGAAGTGATCGAACAGAAGGTCACATTTTTGAACGGTTAATGACTCGAATGGATGGCTATAATGTCAAATGTGAAGGCTCATGAGCCGTTTAAGTCTTATTCCCTGGCGAAGATGGTAGGTATTCTCAAATCTCACGAAAGTGTTGTGACAAAAGAAGCAAAAGTGGTGTCCAATATATGTTCCTTGGCCTTTCTCTCTAAAGCAAGAATGGGGCAGAGGATGAAGAAGAGTCAGAAATTTCAGAGTGTGATATGACCAACGAAGAATATGCAATGATGGTTTCCAACCTGAAGCAATTTGCTCGTACGATGTTCCCTGTAGCCAAGAACCGAATCTAGCAGGGAAGCTATAGCTCAGAAAAGACTAAAGAGGATATCAAAAACAATCCTCAGAAAGAAGAAGAGAAGAAGGAGAGCAAACTGGTGGGAGACTCCGGATACGATTGCAACTTCTGTCATGGAAAAAGCCATTTTGCCAAAGATTGCATGTTGAGAAAGCTGTCAGAGAAGAAAGAGGGTGAAGATGATGAAGAATATCATATACACAAGTTGGAGGAGATAAAGAAGAAGAAAACCTATAACAAAGCTATGAATGTTTTGGTTGTGTGCAGGAGAATGATGTGTGTGAAACCAACTAGTTCTAAACCTACTTTTAATTATAAAATAAACACACAAAGGCAGTGGACCTATCAATTGTGGTAAAGCTAAATAAGTAGGGTATCGAACACAGGGAACGGTAAATTAAAACGAAAAAGTAATTTTATCTAAATTAATTAATAAGTAGCGGTTTTTCTCTAGTTTTACAAGACTAGAAACTTACTAACTATCACTTAAACTAAAAACTAGAAAAGCAAAGGTTTAACTAAATTCAATAATGAGAATGACTTTTGTTTAGTTCAACTCAATTAATCCTATGGTTGATATTATGGTAATAGTGCAATGGATTAATTCTTCTATTGGTTATCGATTCAAGTGTTTAGATTCACATTCGCTGCACTAACCCTTAGAGAACAAACTAACTCAAACAGTAATCAGTTGTCTAATTTAATTTAATTCACTAGATTATTAATTCGGGTTAATTTATACTTGTAATAGATAACTAATTTGCTCCTTTAGTTAACTTCTTGTTGATGGTCATCGCACAAGCTCACACATGAATTTACCTATTTTTATTATTAATTCTAGTTTCATGTTCATTAATCCTAG